TTCTTCTTTTTGCACTCAGACATTAATTCAGGTCGAACAACAGCGTCAGTGGTATATATATCGTATATATATATTCCCCAAGCTCTCATTATACTAAAAACTCTGTACTACTTCTATTGTCCGCGGACATTGCGAGATCCTTCTTATGCCATTCGCCGCTGTTTGGCGTCAAATACATGGATAAGAGGTTCGAATTCAATTTGGGACAAATACAGGAATGGTAAGGATTGTATTTTTTGTCTTGCTACAGACTGAACTAACTGGTTTTTTTTTTTTTTTTTTAGAAAAATGCGAACCATTTGAATTTTCTTTATGAAAATTACATTTCCGCTTTGACATGCGCAGTAATAATATATTAATGTTCTCGCTTAGTGCAATTTCCGCTTCACCACACATAATTCTGATCAGCTAGTAAAAGATATATTATTTTGACGTAATCAGATGGTAGCTTGGTTAAACTTTCTGCCTCGATGTCGCGTACTTCTGATTTTCACTGCGTTATATATAAGAAACCAGTATATTTTAAGGTGTAAGAAGAATGGAAGAATAATTTGAATCTTTATGAGATCAAAGTTAACCATAAAAGCAAGCTGAAAAGTTTCAATAGCGAGAAAGTGCGAAAAAAAATCTGTTAGCATAGAACTTTAGGTTACATATATCCAGCTCAACTGTAAACAGGTGATCTCTTATTTGCCAATGTGTAGTGCTGGATAAAAATTAGTTAAATCTAGTGATAGTGAAGAGTTCACTCTGCTGGTAAGGCAGTGGACTGCATTTCCGTTATGACATGCGCAGTGATAATTGGTCCGTGTAATTTTTGCATCATCACATATATGACTAATAATGTGGATCAGCGTCAACACTAAGAAACTAGGGTTTTATTAGTGTGAAAGAATAAGAAAAAAAAGAAAGCAACAAAGGAGGGAGAACAATAGACGATGAATCAGGGAAGACAGTTAATAATTTTTCATCATTGCATTTAGAATTTTTGAGATTTGGCTGGGATGCATAAAAAGCCGGAAGTTATACGGCGAAAAGTGCGAGAAAAGAATAATCTAACATAAATGGCCATTTGTTCCTCCCTATCATGGCGTCTGCTACAATTTCATTGTTTCCTGTTTTAGGTTGGGTTTTTAGGTTTTATTTTTAAAGTCTAATTCAAAATATACGTCTAATGTCTCAAGCCTCTGAAATTTATTTTCCTAATTATTTATTTTGTCATCAATAGAAGTAGATAAGTTCGCCTATATCCCCGATATTTCAGGACTCAGTGTGTAAATGTAAGTCTGTATATTGGAATTCAATACAGGACCAAAACTCTTTCAATGGAGTTCTCTAATCAATGAGATCTAAGGATGACTGATTGAATGATGTACGCAGAGATATAAGTGGAGGCAATACAAAACGCATATTTTAAGCAGAGCAAATCAAGAAGAAAGAAATATAAAGCAATAACAGAGAGTGAGAAGGTAAAGGATATGAAGGGGGTGTTTGAGGAAGGACCAAGCGAACAGGAAAGGGGTCCAAGGTCAATACTATGGCATCCTGTCGAATTGTCTTCTCACGAATATTTGAAGATTATAGCTACAGGAAGCTCAGGATTAAGGAGTTTGGACATTGAGATCTGCGGACAAAAGCTGTTGGATGAAAAGACGATTGTCAGTGGAGTTTCGACCAACCAAAGGGTTGGTCGAAAGATGCCAACCTGATGAAGGGGACGCTTAAATTCAGGCAGTGAAAATTAAGAAAATGAATACCCGGCCTCTGCCACCAGACAGACATCGTGAATCCTTATTTCTATGGCATCCTTCTGGAATCCATTGTCTCACAAAATTGACCGTTTCGGTTGAAAGTATAGCTAAATCTTTCAGGTGGCGATAATGCGACTGGGTACACCAATGCAGGTGGGACTACTGGCATCCTTTTGAACCTATTTTACTTTCAGGATCGCATTGGTCACCAGTACTAAACCATTATTGCAGTTTTTGGGTATATTGTATATAACTAGTGATTGAATTCAAGAATTTTAGTTAAGTATCCCATAAGGATAGTCGACCAATAGAAGGTTTTTCCATGCAACCCACAACTTTGTTTTTTCTTTTTTAAAGTAGCGGCCATCTTTAATTTCTTCATATCAGAAGGAAGAGAGCAATCCATTCCTGCTTAAGATTACAACAAATTACGCTCTGCTACGATATCAAATGCGAACCACACTACGCTTTCCTACTGTCATGAAATATTCATTGCCAACCTCTAGATTCTATACTCGAGGACGAAAAAAATGAAAATGTCTAAATTAGGTTTTGAACTTGGGGTCACAAAAAATAATCTTGGAATGAATCTGGATTGATTTATGGAAATAAGTCAACAAATGTTGGATAAAAATGCAATAACTCAATCATTTTAAGTACGTTTTGCACCAATTCTGGGGAGAAGCAAGATACCAGATTATCATCTCCCTCATTATATAAATCCTTTGAAATCTTATTTTTGGATTATAAGGTTACAGTGCAACTTGCATTAAGAACATGAACGGAAGAATAACGTTTTGCTACGATATCGTCTTGCGAATATCAACGAAACTTTGTACTGTTATAATATTCATATAGGAGATTCTAAATTGACTTGACCGTCAACTACACTTAACCTCGTAACAATACTGGTGTTAAACTGCATAATCTCGAGTGTAACGTACTGACAGTAAATTCAGCATTTGGTTGTCAGTTACACCCTGATCGCTCTCGCAAAGAAATATTCATAGAATAGTATAAACCATACAATATGGTTTTCTTTAGAACAGACCAATTAAACCAAGGCTTACAATTCCTGATTGTCATTTCCTTTACGATCAAATATCTACCAGTTTAGATGGACATAAACATTTCCCTCTGGTGATCTGTAACAAAACATTTGAATGCAATGAACTTGTTTAGATCGAACAAAGCTCTACTGTTTAACCTCAAACATATCTGTGTTTAGATCAAACATAAAATTCTGGTTGATATTTCCCATAAACATGTTTAGCACGTGGACTAAACATTTTAGACAGGCTTCTCTGTTTGGAGTCATTACTTCAGCATGGCTCCAAACATAAATATCTATGTTTGATCATAAGCTTAAAATCACAACTCTGTCGCATAAACATGTTTAGATCTGTAAGGAAATTCTTCAGATGGGACATAAACATATTTAGTTAAGCAACGTTAGCAGGTCTAGATCAAACGTTAAGTAATATCCAGGGCACATACTCATTTTCGAACATGACACTAAACACGTTTATATCCGGACATAAACACCGGTTCTCGTCCGAAAGGAAGTTAAGCAATGTTAAAAAAAAAAAACAAACAAAGAACACATTCAAACCAAAAGGTTCAATGACTTGAATGTGATTGCTTGCAGCAAGGATATGGCAGTTATCAACCCTCATGGGTCATTTAATGTTAAAAAATCTATATATCTTACAAGCCACAGTTTTTTCTTCCATTTTGGAGTTTGCCAACCAAGTTTACAGAAACCTGTCTTACTGATCTGAACCAAAAACTGCAGCAGGAGAGGCAGGGAATTCCACTTTCGAAAGTATTAACACGTAAGTGAATGTAATGACCTGACTGAAATTTCGAACTATACACCCCAAATTCCTCGATCGAACTGGTCCATTATTCGACCGTTACTTCAACATTTTTTTCTTAATTCATCGTACGAAACACATGTCTAGAATAATGTTGAGGGAATGAGATCTTTTCGTCTGTAATTGAACTTCTTAAAACCTCATTCTTGGATTTTTCTTAACCAGTTTTTAAATTGTTCACCCAACTTGGTCAAGAATTTCGTTTTTGAACATTTCCACTGATTTAACTCCACCGTCCTGCCCTGCTATTTCTCCATGGGTGTTTTAAAGTTGTTCTCTTTAAATAATAAAATAAATGATGAAAAATTCGAAATTCTCTGAAAGAATCAAGTCAAGTCTGTTCTGCAATTTAATCATAGCTTTCTTCTTTTTTTTAAATTTTCAAACAAGACTGAATTCTCTCTTTTTTTTTCGATTTTCCTCAGAATCTGTAATTCAGATTTCGTAAGGGAGGGAGAACAAGCTGGTTGAATTAATTCTATCTTTGAAATCACGGTACTGCCTCTCTTCGAACTTGTGCATTTCTTTAGTATGCATGAAACAGACAGACTAGAAGCAGAAACGCACTTAGCATGACGGAAGACAATACATAAAAAGATACAGGTAACAGAAGAGTTATAATGCAGTTAGACGCAAAGTACTGGTACCATAAAAATGTCGTTAATACGCATATATGCGTCAACAAATACCTTAGATATTAACGAAGATTGTTTTAAAAAAAACAATAAAACAAACATTATTACAGTGCTAACGTTAAAGAGAATGAGAAGGTTTCAAAACAGAATATTTTGACTTTGAAAAAAACAGGTTTCAGGAAGACAGAATATGTCATATAATGAAGGACTAAGACGCAATTCCTCAGGAATTACAGAATAATGAGGGAGACTTAGTATTCTGCAAAATCAACAGGGATAGAAAGGAGACAATTCCTCCAGGAAAAGAACAGGTTTCAATCGCAACCAAAATGGCGACTGTTGGTACAAAACTCCAGGAGGACAGAATAATGGGGAGAGTGAATGATTCTTCAAATCAAGTCATGAAGGGGAGAAAGGAAGACAGAATAAAAGTCATTCCTACATCAGGGGAAGACAGAAACTGGAAGACAGAAATCAAATGTGAAAATCAAGGGGTGAAGGGGACTGTTGGAGATTGAGAAGACAGAATAATGGGAGAGAAAAAGAGTAGGTTTCAGGAAGAGGGAAGATCGGGTAATGCCATCTACCTCCAGGGGACGAAAAAGGGAATGAGAAGGCATAGGAGATCAAAGGACAATAAAAGAACTATTACATTCCTCCAGGAAGACAGAAGATTCGAGGCTGCACTCCTGCGTCAACATCGACTCTATTTAGTTAAATTCCCTCCAGGAAGACTTTCATGGGAGAAAGTTTAATAAAAGAACAGGGAGCCTGAAGACTCGGCATTGGTAATCCCCGAAGACCGGGTTTACTCTCTGCCAAAGCAGAAAATCAACAGGTCGTCCGAAAGGGACTAACCGTCGTTCTCTCCAGGAAGACAGAAGATGGGGATAGGTGTATTCCGTCAAGGAGGATACGAAAAGGACAAGAGTTTCAGGAAGAACAATAATGGGGAGAAATGACATTAAAAGAACAGGGATAGGAGGTTGACGAAATAATGGGTTCAGACAGAATAATGGGAGACCAGATCCGCAAATCACCAGGGATACGAAGGGGACTGTACAATATTCCTCCAGGAAGACAGAATAATGGAGGAGAGAACAGGTTTCAAAAACCAACCAACAGGGATACGAAGGGACTGTTATGAATAACAGAATGAGAAGACAGAATAAGGGGGAGAGAAGAGCTATTTCTGTTCGCAAATCAACTGGATACGAAGGGGACGGTTGGTACATTATTCCAGGAAGACAGAATAATGGGAGAGACTTCAGTATTCTGAAATCATTATAAAGGGATGTTGGTACATTCCTCCAGGAAGACAGAATATGGGAGAGGTCAGTATTCTTCCAGGGAAGGGACAGACAGAATCCAGGAAGACTTTAATGGGGAGATATATTCTAAAAAATCAACAGGGATACGAAAGGGACTGTTGCCTCTTCCTCCAGGAAGACAGAATAATGGGGAGAGGTTAGTAGGGGAGAAATCAACAGGGATACGAAGGGGCCTGGTACATTCCTCCAGGAAGACAGAATATGGGAAGAGGCTTCACTGCAAATCAACAGGATACGAAGGGGACTATAGGTACATTCCTCCAAAGACAGAATAATGGGGTTCTTATTCCGCAAAATCAAAGGGATAAAAAGGACTTCACATTTCAGGAAGACAGAATAATGGGGATAGGTGCAAATCAACTGTGATGCAAGGCTGAACATTCCTCCAGGAAGACAGGGATAGAGTGAATGAGGGACTAGTTGGAACAATCTCCAGGAAGACAGAATAATGGGGGAGAGTGCTTCAGTATTCTGCAACTAAACAGGGATACGAATTTCAAAGAGAATGGGACATTCCTCCAGGAAGAAAGAAGAACAGGGGAGGAAGTGAATAATCAGTATTCTGCAAATCAGGGACGCAAGGGACTACAGGCTTCAAAGACAGAATAATGGGAAGTGCTTTTAGAATCAGGAAATCAACAGGGATACGGGGGAGAGTACATTCCTCCAGGAAGACAGAATAATGGGGAGAGGCAGTATTCTGCAAATCAACAGGCCATGAATGGGACTAAACAACATTCCTCCAGGAAGACAGAATAATGGGGAGAGTGCTTCAGAAATTCCAAAATCAAGGAGGGATACAGGAAGACAGAAGATTGGTACATTCCTCCAGGAAGACAGAATAATGGGAGAGTGCTTCTATATTCCGAAATCAACAGGGATACGAAGGGGACTGTTGGTACATTCTCCAGGAAGACAGAATAATGGGGAGAGTGCTTCTGTATTCGGCAAATCAACAGGGAGTGCTTTAGGGCCTGCAAATTGGACTGATTGGTACATTCCTCCAGGAAGACAGAATAATGGGGAGAGTGCTTCAGTATTCCGCAAATCAACAGGGATCTGAAGGGACTGTTGGTACATTCCTCCAGGAAGACAGAATAATGGGGAGAGTGCTTCAGTATTCCGCAAATCAACAGGGATACGAAGGGGAGGAATGGTACATTCTCCAGGAAGAAGACAGATTCAAAAATCAACAGGGGAGGTTTCAGGAAGACAGAATAATGGGAGCAAATTCTCAACAGGGACGAAGGGACTATTGGTACATTCCTCCAGGAAGACAGAATAATGGGGGAGGCTTCAGTATTCTGCAAATCAACAGAGATACGAAGGGACTTATACAGAAAATTTTCTCCAGGAAGACAGAATAATGGGGAGAGACTTTCATATTCTGCAAATCAACAGGGATGAAGGGACTGTTGGCAACATTCTCCAGGAAGACAGAATAATGGGGGAAAAGTATTCTGCAAAATCAACAGGGATAAAGGAGATTCCTCCAGGAAGACAGAATAATGGGGAGAGTGCTCAGTATTCTGCAAATCAACAGGGATACGAAGGGGAATGTGGGGGTACATTCTCCAGGAAGACAGAATAATGGGGAGAGTGTCAGTATTCCACTAAATCAACAGGGATAGGAAGGGGACTGTTGGTACATTCCTCCAGGAAGACAGAATAATGGGGAGAGTGCTTCTATTCAGGAAATGTGAGGGATACGAAGGAGATGCTGGACCAGGAAGACAGAATAATGAGGAGTCCAGTATTCTGCAAAGACAGAATAATGAATCCAGGAAGAAGACTTTCAATGGGGATTCTCAGCAAATCAACAGGTTTATGAAGGGGACTGTTGGTACATTCCTCCAGGAAGACAGAATAATGGGGAGAGTGCTTCAGAGATTCTGAGAAATCAACAGGGATGTGAAAGGACAATAAAGTACATTCCTCCAGGAAGACAGAATAATGATGATATTCTGCAAATCAACAGGGATACGAAGGGGACCGTTGGTACATTCCTCCAGGAAGACAAATAATGGGGAGGCATCTCATATTCTGCAAATCAGGAGGGATACAAGGGGACTGTTGGTACATTCCTCCAGGAAGACAGAATAATGGGATAATGCTTCAGTATTCTGCAAATCAAGAGGGATACGAAGGGGACTGTTGGTACATTCCTCCAGGAAGACAGAATAATGGGGAGAGTGCTTCAGCATTCCGCAAATCAACAGGGATACGAATGGGACTGTTGGTACATTCCTCCAGGAAGACAGAATAATGGGGAGTGCTTCAGTATTCTGCAAATCAACAGGGATACGAAGGGGACTGTTGGTACATTCCTCCAGGAAGACAGAATAATGGGGAGAGTTTTTCAGTATTCTGCAAATCAACAGGGATATGAATGGGACTAAGACGCATTCTCCAGGAAGACAGAATAATGGGGAGACTTCAGTATTCTGCAAATCAACAAAAGAACGAAGGGGACAAAAACAGAGGAAGACAGAATAATGCCACTAGAGTGCTTCAGTATTCTGCAAATCAAAGGAATGAAGAAGGGACATTTTGTTGGTAGGACAATTCCTCCAGGAAGACAGAATAATGGGGAGAATGCCAGTATTCTGCAAATCAACTGGGAGTGAAAGGGACTGTTGGTACATTCCTCCAGGAAGACAGAATAATGGGAGAGGTTTCAGGTATTCTGCAAATGGCGATAATGCCAGTGTTGGGATACGCTTTATTCTGCAAATCAACAGGGATAATAAGGGACTGACTGGAAGTACATTCCTCCAGGAAGACTCCAGGGAATAATGGGAGAGAAAGTAGAAATGAAAATCAACAGGGATAGGAAGACTGTTGAACATTCCTCCAGGAAGACAGAATAATGGGGAGAGTGCTTCAGTATTCTGCAAATCAAGAAGGGATGAAGGAGGACTGACAATAAAACACAGGTTTCAGGAAGACAGAATAATGGGGAGAGTGCCAGTATTCTGCAAATCAACAGGGATACGAAGGGGTAAATTCCTCCAGGAAGACAGAATAAGGGGAGAGTGACAATAAAGAACAAATCAACAGGGACGAAAGGGACTGTTGGTACATAATCCAGGAAGACAGAATAATGGGGAGTGAAGCCAAATTCTGCAAATCAACAGGGATGAAAGGGACAATTGGAACAGGTTTCCAGGAAGACAGAATAACTGGGAGATGGGGATAATGCTGCAAACTAAGGGATACGCAAGGTTTACTGTTGGTAATTCCTCCAGGAAGACAGGGATACGAAGGGGAAGGGGACTGTTGGTACATTCCTCCAGGAAGACAGAATAACTTTCAGTATTCTGCAAATCAACAGGGATACTTAAGGGGACTGTTGGTACATTCTCCAGGAAGACAGAATAATGGGGGGAGAGTGCATTCTGCAAAATATTCTGTTGGTACATTCCCTCCAGGAAGGATACGAAGTGCTTCAGGACTCTGCAAATACATTCCTCCAGGAAGACAGAATAATGGGAGAGTGCTTCAGTATTCTGCAAGTCAAATCAACAGGGATAAAGGGGAATAAAAGAACAGGTTTCAGGAAGACAGAATACGATGGGGATAATGCTACTCCAGGAAGATTCTGCAAATCAATCAACAGGGATATGAAGGGGACTGTTGGTACATTCCTCCAGGAAGACAGAATAATGGGGGAGAGTGCTTCAGTATTCTGCAAATCAACAGGGATACGAAGGGGACTGTTGGTACATTCCTCCAGGAAGACAGAATAATGGGGAGAACAGGTTCTGCAAATCAACAGATGAAGGGGACTGTTGGTACATTCCTCCAGGAAGACAGAATAATGGGGAGAAAAGAGTATTGCAAATCAACAGGGATACGAAGGGGACTGTTGGAACAGGTTCCAGGAAGACAGAATAATGGGGAGCTTCGGTAGTGCTTCCATTCTGCAAATCAACAGGGATACGAAGGGACTGTTGGTACATTCCTCCAGGAAGACAGAATAATGGGGAGAGTGCTTCAGTATTCTGCAAATCAACAGGGATACGAAGGGGACTGTTGGTACATTCCTCCAGGAAGACAGAATAATGGGGAGAGTGCTTCAGTATTCTGCAAATCAACAGGGGGATACGAAGGGACTTTGGAATGAGGAAGACAGAATAATGGGGAGAGTGCTTCAGCATTCTGCAAATCAACAGGGACAGAATAATCCTCCGAGAAAGACAGAATAATGGGGAGTGCTTCAGTATTCCAAAATCAACAGGGATACGAAGGGGACTGTTGGTACATTCCTCCAGGAAGACAGAATAATGGGGAGAATGCCAGTATTCTGCAAATCAACTGGGATACGAAGGGGACTGTTGGTACATTCCTCCAGGAAGACAGAATAATGGGGAGAGTGCTTCAGTATTCTGCAAATCAACAGGGATACCAAGGAGACTGTTGGTACATTCCTCCAGGAAGACAGAATAATGGGGGAGACTTTAGTCAGTATTCTGCAAATCAACAGGGGACTGTTTACATTCCTCCAGGAAGACAGAATGGGAGAGGTACATTCTCCAGATACGAAGGGGAGATTCCTCCAGGAAGACAGAATAATGGGGAGAGTGCTTCAGTATTCTGCAAATCAACAGGGATACGAAGGGGACTGTTGGAACATTCCTCCAGGAAGACAGAATAATGGGGAGAGTGCTTCTAATTCTGCAAATCAACAGGGATACGAAGGGGACTGTTGGTACATTCCTCCAGGAAGACAGAATAATGGGGAGAGTGCTTCAGTATTCTGCAAATCAACAGGGATACGAAGGGGACTGTTGGTACATTCCTCCAGGAAGACAGAATAATGGGAGAGTGAACAGTATTCTGCAAATCAACAGGATATGAAGGGGACTGTTGGTACATGCCTCCAGGAAGACAGAATAATGGGGAGAGCTTCAGTATTCTGCAAATCAACAGGGATACGAAGGGGACAATTGGTACATTTTCCAGGAAGACAGAATAAGGGGGGATAATGCCTCAGTATTCTGCAAATCAACAGGGATATGAAGGGGACTTTTGGTACATTCCTCCAGGAAGACAGAATAATGGGGGAGACTAAGACGCAGTATTCTGGAAGCAAAGAAATCAACAGGGATAGGATAAAGGGGACTGTTGGTACATTCCTCCAGGAAGACAGAATAATGGGGAGAGTGCTTCAGTATTCTGCAAATCAACAGGGATACGAAGGGGACTGTTGGTACATTCCTCCAGGAAGACAGAATAATAAAGAAGAGGTTTCAGAAGACAGAATAATGGGGATTCAGAAAATCAACAGGGATACGAAGGGGACTGTTGGTACATACTCCAGGAAACAGAATAATGGGGGAGAATGAAGATTCAGAATCAAAGGGATGAAGGGGACTGTTGGAATTCCTCCAGGAAGACAGAATAATGGGGAGAAAGTATTCTGCAAAGGGAGGGAAGGGGACTGTTGCCACATTCCTCCAGGAAGACAGAATAAGGAGAGTCAGTATTCTGGAAATCAAAGGGAGAAGGAGAAGATTCCTCCAGGAAGACAGAATAAGTGGGGAGAGTGGATTCTGCAAATCAACAGGGATACGAAGGGGACTGTTGGTACATTCCTCCAGGAAGACAGAATAATGGGGAGAGTGCTTGAGTATTCTGCAAATCAAAGGGATACGAAGGGGACTGTTGGTACATTCCTCCAGGAAGACAGAATAATGGGAAGTGCTTCAGTATTCTGCAAATCAACAGGGACAATAAAGTACAGGTTTCCAGGAAGACAGAATAATGGGGAGAGTGCTTCAGTATTCTGCAAATCAATACCAAGGGGATGAAGGGATACATTCCTCCAGGAAGACAGAATAATGGGGAGAGGGATTCTGCAATGATACGAAGGGACTGTTTACATTCCTCCAGGAAGACAGAATAATGGGGAGAGTGCTTTCAGCATTCTGCAAATCAACAGGGATACGAAGGGGACTGTTGGTACATTCCTCCAGGAAGACAGAATAATGGGAGAGTGCTTCAGTATTCTGCAAATCAACAGGGATATGAAGGGACTGTTGGTACATTCCTCCAGGAAGACAGAATAATGGGGAGAGTGCCAGTATTCTGCAAATCAACAGGGATACGAGGGGACTGTTGGTACATTCCTCCAGGAAGACAGAATAATGGGGAGAGTGCTTCAGTATTCTGCAAATCAACAGGGATTTGAAGGGACTGTTGTTGGTACATTCCTCCAGGAAGACAGAATAATGGGGAGAGTGCTTCAGTATTCTGCAAATCAACAGGGATACCAAGGAGACTGTTGGTACATTCCTCCAGGAAGACAGAATAATGGGGAGAGTGCTTCAGTATTCTGCAAATCAACAGGGATACGAAGGGGACTGTTGGTACATTCCTCCAGGAAGACAGAATAATGGGGAGAGTGCTTCAGTATTCTGCAAATCAACAGGGATACGAAGGGGACTGTTGGTACATTCCTCCAGGAAGACAGAATAATGGGGAGAGTGTTTCAGAATTCTGCAAATCAACAGGGATACGAAGGGGACTGTTGGTACATTCCTCCAGGAAGACAGAATAATGGGGAGATTGCTTCAGTATTCTGCAAAATCAACAGGGATAGGAAGACAGAATGTGGGTACATTCCTCCAGGAAGACAGTTTACTCAGGGGGATAATGGGAGCTTCAGTATTCTGAGAAAATCAACAGGGATACGAAGGGGACTGTTGGTACATTCTCCAGGAAGACAGAATAATGGGAGAGTGCTTCAGTATTCTGCAAATCTAACAGGACATGGTTACTGTTGGTACATTCCTCCAGGAAGACAGAATAATGGGGAGAGTGCTTCAGTATTCTGCAAATCAACAGGGATACGAAGGGACTGTTGGTACATTCCTCCAGGAAGACAGAATACTGGGGGAAGTGCTTCAGTATTCTGCAAATCAACAGGGAGACAGAAGGGGACTGTTGGTACATTCCTCCAGGAAGACAGAATAATGGGAGAGTGCCAAGACATTCTGCAAATCAACAGGGATACGAAGGGGACTGTTGGTACAGGTTCCAGGAAGACAGAATAATGGGGAGAGTGCTTCAGTATTCTGCAAATCAACAGGGATACGAAGGGGACTGTTGGTAAAGAACCTCCAGGAAGACAGAATAATGGGGAGAGTGCCAAAATCAACAGGGACGCAAGGGGTTACTGGTAATCTCCTCCAGGAAGACAGAATAATGGGAGAGATAGTATTCTGCAAATCAAAGGGACAATGAAGGGGAGAACATTCCTCCAGGAAGACAGAATAATGGGGATAATGCCAATCAACAGGCAACGAAGGGGACAAATCAAAGACAGAACGAAGGGACTGAGGAGAAATCAACAATAAAGGGAACAGGTTTCCCAGGAAGACAGAATAATGGGAGATAATGCCTTCAGTATTCTGCAAGGAAAACAGGGATACGAAGATGGGACTGTTGGTACAGGTTCCAGGAAGACAGAATAATGGGATAAGCCACTAAGTGGATTCTGCAAATCAACAGGGATACGAAGGGGACTGTTGGTACAGTTCCAGGAAGACAGAATAATGGGGAGAGTGCCAGTATTCTGCAAATCAACAGGGATACAAAGGGGACTGTTGGTACATTCCTCCAGGAAGACAGAACAATGGGGAGAGTGCTTCAGGTTTCAAATCAACAGGGATACGAAGGGGACTGTTGGTACATTCTCCAGGAAGACAGAAATGGGGAGTGCTTCAGTATTTCTGCAAAAATCAACAGGGATACGAAGGGGACTTTGGTACATTCCTCCAGGAAGACAGAATAATGGGGAGAGGTTTCAGTATTCTGCAAATCAACAGGGATACGATGGACCACTACAGGAACAGAATAATGGGGAGAGTGTATTCTGGAAAACAGAATAAAGGGGATTTTGGTACATTCTCCAGGAGAATAATGACAAAAAAAGAACAGGGATGAAGGGAAGGGACTGTTGGTATAATTCCTCCAGGAAGACAGAGTTAATGGGTCAAGAGAATGGGAAGACTTTAGTATAAGGAGAAATCAACAATAAAAGAAGGGACTGTTTCCTCCAGGAAGACAGAATAATGGGCGAGAATGCCACTAGGAAGACAACAGGGAAGATGAAGGGGACTGTTGGTACATTCCTCCAGGAAAGAGAATGGGAGAGTTTCAATTCTGCAAATCAACAGGGATACGAAGGGGAGAACATTCCCTCCAGGAAGACAGAATAATGGGGAGAGTGCCATTCTAAAATCAACAGGGATACGAAGGGGACTGTTGGTACATTCCTCCAGGAAGACAGAATAATGGGAAGAGTGCTTTATTCTGCAAATCAACAGGACAATGAAGGGGGACTGTTGGTACATTTCTCCAGGAAGACAGAATAATGGGGAGAGTGCCACAGTATTCTGCAAATCAACAGGGACACGAAGGGGACTGAGAAGTACATTCCTCCAGGAAGAAAGAACAATGGGGAGACAGGTTTCAGGTATTCAGCAAATCAACAGGGATATGAAGGGGACTGTTGTTACATTCCTCAAGGAAGACAGAATAATGGGGAGAGGAGAAAGGACAATAAATCAACAGGGTTTCAGGGAAGACAGAATATGGGGATTCCTGCCAGGAAGACACGCATGGGGAGTTTACTGGATTCTCCAGGAAAAGAATAATGAGAAGAGTATTCCAAAAAATGAGGGAGAAGGGGACAATAAAAGAACAGGTTCCAGGAAGACAGAATAATGGGATAATGCCACTAAGTATTCTGCAAATCAACAGGGATACGAAGGGGAAGACATTCCTCCAGGAAGACAGAATAATGGGGGAGACAGGTTTCAGGAAGACAGAAAATCAATGCCACTAAGAGGCAGGGGACTGTTGGAATGACATTCCTCCAGGAAGACAGAATAATGGGGAAAGAACAGGTATTCTGCAAATCAACAGGGCGATGATGGGGGACTGTTGGTACAGGGAGTTCCAGGAAGTCAGAATAATGAGAAGTGCTCAGTATTCTGCAAATCAAAGGGACATGAAGGGGACCGTTGGTACATTTCAGGAAGACAGAATAATGAGGAGAATGCCAGTGTTCTGCAAATCAACAGGGATACGAAGGGGATTACTGGAAGACAGAAAAGGGAATAGTATTCCGCAAACTTTAGGGTGAAGGGAGAAAGAAGGCAGAATAAAAGAAGAGGTTTCAGGAAGACAGCAAATCAATAGGGATACGAAGGGGACTGTTGGTACATTCCTCCAGGAAAAGAATAATGGGAGAAGTATTTAGGCAAATCAAAAGGACAACAAAAGAACAGGTTTCCAGGGAAGACAGAATAATGGGGAGTGCTTCAGTATTCTGCAAACAAAAGGCAAGACTGTTAGAATTCCTCCAGGAAGACAGAATAATGGGAGAAGACTTTAGTGAGGATTCTGCAAATAAAAGAGGGATACGAAGGGGACTGAAGATGCTGACATTGCTCCAGGAAGACAGAATAATGGGGAGAGAAAGAGATTGAGAAAATCAACAGGGAAACGACATGGGACAGGTTTCCTCCAGGAAGACAGAATAATGGGGAGAGTGCTTCAGTATTCCGCAAATCAACAAGGGATTAGGGGAAGTCATTCTCCAGGAAGAAGAACTTTGGGAGAGGAGAAAGGATTCTGCAAATCAACAGGTTGAAGGGGAGGAACATTCCTCCAGGAAGACAGAATAATGGGAGAGTGCTTCAGTATTCTGCAAATCAACAGGGATAGAAGGGACTGTTGGGACATTCCTCCAGGAAGACAGAATAATGGGGAGAAGTATTCTGCAAATCAACAGGGATATGAAGGGGAGGTACATTCCTCCAGGAAGACAGAATAATGGGGGGGGAACAGGTTTCAGGAAGACAGAAGGGATGGCGATCCAGGAAATGCCACTAAGAGGCAAGGGATTACAGGAAGACAGAAGAATGGGAGAGTGCTTCAGTATTTGCAAATCAAAGGAGACGAAGGACAATGTTGGAACATTTTCAGGAAGACAGAATAATGGGGAGAGTGATCAATTCTGCAAATCAACAGGGATACAAGGGACTGTTTACTGGAAGGAAACAGAATAATGGGGAGAAGACAGTATTCTGCAAATCAACAGGGAGAAATGACAATAAAAGAACAGGTTCCAGGAAGACAGAATAATGGGGAGATAATTCTGCAACTAACAACAAGGGATTACTCCAGGAGGGAGGGGAGAAGTACATTCCTCCAGGAAAGGACAACAGAATAACAGGTTTCAGGAAGACAGGGAAGAAGGGGACTGTTGGACAATGCCAGGAAGACAGGCAAGTGCTTCAGATTCTGCAAATACTGGAAGAAGGGAGAGAAATCTCCAGGAAGACAGAATAATGGGGAGAGAAAGGACAAATCAAAAGAAGGGGACAGGTACATTCTCCAGGAAGACAGAATAATGGGGAGAATGCCACTCAGACGCAAGGATTACAGGGATACGAAAGAGAATGAGAACATTCCTCCAGGAAGACAGAATAATGGGAGAACAGGTTTCAGAAGACAGAAAATGGCAATAGGGCCACGAAGAGGCAAGGGTTACAGGAAGACAGAATAATGGGAAGACTTTAGTGAGGAGAAATCAACAGGGATAAAAGGGACAGGTACATTTCAGGAAGACAGAATAATGGGGAGAGCGATAATGCAACTCAACAGGGCAATGAAGGGACTGTTGGTACATTCCTCCAGGAAGACAGAATAATGGGGAGAGTGCTTCAATAAAAGAAAATCAACAGGGAGAAGGGGACTGTTGATAATGCCTCCAGGAAGACAGAATAATGGGGAGAGTGTTATGAGAAATCAACAGGGATAGAAGGGGACTAAAAAAGTACATTCCTCCAGGAAGACAGAGGATGGGGAGAAAGATCAGGGATTTCTGGGACTGTTGGTAAAGAGAACAGGAAGGATATGGGGGGACTGTTAAACTACATTCCTCCAGGAAGACAGGGATAATACATTCCTCCAGGAAGAGAATAATGGGGGAGAGTCAAAAGATTCTGAGAAATCAAGAAGGGGAGAAAGGGGAATAAAAGAACAGGTTCCAGGAAGACAGAATATGACGATAATTCAGCCAAATAAGAGGGCAAGGGTACATTCCTCCAGGAAGACAGTGGGAAAAGAGAAGCAAATCAACAGGGAGGAGAAAGGACAATAAAAGAACAGGTTCCAGGAAGACAGAATAATGGGGATAGTGCCACTAAGAGGCAAGGGGATTACTGGAAGTGAAAAGAGAATGGGAGAAGACTTTAGATGAGGGAACTGACAATAAAAAACAGGTTCCAGGAAGACAGAATAATGGGAGATAATGCAAATCAAGAGGTATACGAAGGGGACTGTTGGTACATTCCAAAGAGAAGAGAAGACTAATAGGGGAGAAATGACAATCAAAGGAACAGGAAGGGGAAGACAGACATATGGCGATAAGACAGACTAAGAGGAGAGTGCTTCAGTAGGAAAGAAATCAACAGGGAGGAGAGAAAGGGGAATAAAGAACAGGTTCCAGGAAGACAGAATAATGGCGATAATGCCACTAATTCTGCAAATCATTACTGGGAGTCGAAGGGGACTGAGAAGTACATTCCTCCAGGAACAGAATAGAATAATGGGAACAGGTTTCAGGGAAGACAGCAAATCGATAATGCCACTAAGGGGACTGGAGTTACATTCAAAGAAGAAGAATAATGGGGAGTGTGGAGAAAGGACAATAAAAGACTGTTGGTACATTCCTCCAGGAAGACAGAATAATGGGGGAGAGTGCCACTATTCTGCAAATCAAAAGGGATGAGAAGGGACTGTTGGGAGAAAGGACCATAAAAGACAGGTTTAAGGGGGACAGAAGATGGCGATAATGCCAATCAAAGGGGCAAGAAGATTACTGTTGGTGAAATTCCTCCAGGAAGACAGAATAAGGGGGAGAGTGGACAATTCTGCAAATTTCAGGAAGACGAAGGGAGATGGCGATAATGCCACTAAGACAGCAATGGGGAGAGGGATTAGTATTCCGCAAATCAAAGGAGAATGAGAAGACTTTATTCCTGAGGAAGACAGAACAATAAAAAGAACAGGTTCTGCAAGGAAGACAGAAGGGACCGATAATGCCTCCAGGAAGACAGAATAATGGGGAGAGTGCAAAGAGAATTCTGCAAATCAACAGGGGAATACTGACACTTTCCCAGGAAGGACAATAAAAGAACAGGTTTCAGGAAGACAGAAGATGGCGATAGGAAGACCACTAAGGCAAGGGATTACTGCAAATCAAAGAGAATGAGAAGACTTTCCAGGAAAGGACAATAAAAGAACAGGTTTCTGCAAAGACAGAATATGGCGATACTGTTGGTACTAGGAAGACAGAATAATGGGGAGAGTTACTCAGTATTCTGCAAATCAAAGGGAATGAAAGGACTTTTGGGAGAAATGACTCCAAAAGAACAGGTTTCAGGGAAGGAGAATATTCAGATAATGCAAATCAACAGAGGATAGGAAGGGGACTGTTGGTACATTCAAAGAGAAGAGAAGAATAATGGGAGAGTGGACAATAAAAGAACAGGTTTTCAGGAGGGACAGAAGGGGACTGTTGGATAATGCCAGGAAGACAGATTAATGGGAGAGTGAAAGAGTATGAGAAGCAAATCAGAAAGGATACGAAGGGAACACATTTTCCAGGAAGACAGAATAATGGGGAGCGATAATTCTGCAACTAAGAGGCAAAGGAGGGACTGTTGGTCAAAGAGAATGAGAAGACTTTAATGAGGAGAGGGGAAAGGACAAATAAAAGAAGTTGGTAGGTTTCAGGAAGACAGAATAATGAGTGCTTCAGATTCTGCAAATAAGAGGGATACGAAGGGGACTGGAATTCAAAGAGAATGAGAAGAATAATGAGGAGAAAGGACAATAAAAGAACAAGGTTTCAGGAAGACAAGGGATGGCGATAATGCCACTAAGACGCAAGGAGTTAATGGGAGGAAAGAGAATGAGTATTCTGCAAAGGAGAAGGGACAATAAAAGAACAGGTTTCAGGAAGACAGAATATGGGGAGAATACTATGATCGCAAGGAATGACATTCCTCCAGGAAAAGAGGCAGAGGCTTCACTGGGAAATCAAAGGGATAAATGAGAAGACATTTAGGAAGACAGAATAATGAGAAAGGACAACAGGGATACGAAAAAGAAGAAGGTTTGAGGAAGAAAGGAAGACAGTATTCTGGAAGACATGAAGGGCGATAATGCCACTAAGAAGACAGAATATTGGGGAGAGGAAAGAGAATGAGAAGACTTTACAGGGGGGAGAAAGGACAATAAAAGAAGAGGTTTCAGGAAGACAGAATATGGCGATAATGCCACAAAGAGGCAAGGGAGTTACTGGAAGTCAAAGAGAATGAATGGGAAGACTTTTTAGTGAGGGGAGAAGGGGACTAAAAGAACAGGTTTCAGGAGGAAGACAGAAGATGCTTCGATAATGCAAATTAGGGACGAAGGGGCAAGGGAGTTACAGAATAATGGGGAGGGCTTCAGGAAAGAGAATGAGAAGACTTTAGTCCAGGAAGGAGAAAATGACAATAAAAGAACAGGTTTCAGGAAGACAGAAGATGGCGACAATGCCACTAAGACGCAAAGTTACTGGGATAAGAAGAGGACTTTAGTAAGGAGAAAGGACAAGAAAGAATAGGTTTCAGGAAGGAGAGAATATGGCGATAATGCCACTAAGACGCAAGGGAGTTCCTCCAGGAAGACAGAATGAGGGACTTTGCTTCAGGAGAAATGCAAAAAGAACAGGTTTAGAAAGACAGAAGATACATTCCTCGATAAAGACAGAATAATGGGGACGCAAGGATTACTGCAAGTCAAAGGATGAGAAGACTGTTTTAGTCCAGAGGAGAAAGGACAATCTGCAAAAAAGAACAGGTTTCAGGAAGACAGAAGATGGCGATAATGCCACTAAGAGGCAACGAAGGGATTACTGGAAGTCAGGAAAGAGAATGAGAAGACTTTAGGGTACGAAGGGAGGAGAAAGAATAATAAAAAGAACAGGTTTCAGGAAGACAGAAGATGGCGATAATGCCACTAAGAGACAAGGAGTTAATGGGGAAGTCAAAGAGAATCAGAAAATCAACAGGGGGGAGAAAGGACAATAAAAGAACAGGTTCCAGGAAGACAGAATATATGATAATGCCACTAAGAGGCAAGGGGGATTACTGGAAGGGAAAGAGAATGAGAAGACTTCCAGGAGGAGAAAGGACAATAAAAGAACAGGTTTCAAGGAAGACAGAAGGGGACTGATAATGCCACTAAGAGGCAAGGAGTTACTGGGAAGTCAAAGAGAATGAGAAGATTTTGCAAGTAAGGGAGAAATGGACAATCCTCAAAAGAACAGGTTTCAGGAAGACAGAATATGGCGATAAATGCCACTAAGACAGAATAAAGTGAGTAACTGGAAGTCAAAGAGAATGAGAAGACTTTAGTAAGGAGAAATGACAATAAAAGAACAGGTTTCAGGAAGACAGAATATGGCGATAATGCCACTAAGACGCAAGGAGTTACTGGAAGTCAAAGAGAATGAGAAGACTTTAGTAAGGAGAAATGACAATAAAAGAACAGGTTTCAGGAAGACAGAATATGGCGATAATGCTTCCAGTGTTCTGCAAGGCAACAGGGATTCGAAGGAGATTACTGGACAGGAAGACAGAATGAAAAGAGAATGAGAAGACTTTCAGGAAGTGAGGAGAAAGGACAATAAAAGAACAGGTTTCAGGAAGACAGAAGATGGCGATAATGCCACTAATTCTGCAAGGAGTTACTGGAAGTCAAAGAGAATGAGAAGACTTTTAGTGAGGAGAAAGGACAATAAAAGAACAGGTTTCAGGAAGACAGAATACATGAATATTAAGACTAATGGATTAGGATAAGGGAATGAGAAGACATTTCCAGGAGAAAGACAATAAAGAGAATTCTGGAAAATCAAGAATATGGAAGAGAAGGGACTGTAATTCTCCAGGAAGACAGAAGACGCAAGGAGAGTACTGGAAGTATTCTGAGAAACTTTAGGGAGGAGAAAGGACAATAAAAGAACAGGTTTCAGGAAGACAGAATATGGCGATAATGCCACTAAGACGCAAGGAGTTACTGGAAGTCAAAGAGAATGAGAAGACTTTAGTGAGGAGAAAGGACAATAAAAGAACAGGTTTCAGGAAGACAGAATATGGCGATAATGCCACTAAGAGGCAAGGGATTACTGGGAGTGAAAGAGAATGAGAAGACTTTAGTGAGGAGAAAGGACAATAAAAGAACAGGTTTCAGGAAGACAGAATATGGCGATAATGCCACTAAGACGCAAGGAGTTACTGGAAGTCAAAGAGAATGAGAAGACTTTAGTAAGGAGAAATCTG